AAATTGAAGCATTTATTGCTTTATCATTTCTATACTGCACCAATTTTATAGAATATTTGTTATTTTATCATAACATTCATAAATACGTTTTTTCATGCTATCAATGATTGGATGGAAATTCTGATGAGATGATCCTAAAAAAGTATCATATATGAAGTACATTCATTGTAATGAATATATCTGTTATATTTTTATAAAGATTGATAACAGGTTCATAAGTTGAATCTGGTTCTTTCCCAAAACTTCTTAATCTGAAAAGATTATATAAATGGATTTGCAAAGTTTGCTTAAATTTCTATGAATTGACGGTATTCTTTCAAGATCATTCATTTCGAAGTATGATATTAATGCTTCTCATTATCATCATAAGGGGAGATAATAATGGATAAAAATGAATGGGGGAGTAGTCATAAAAATGAATGAATTTTTCTGAGTCATTTATGAAGATTGGGGAAGTTATCAAAGTTTTAGAGTAAAGATAATTCCGAAGATAATTGTTGATGCTTGCTAAAAGTTATTGTACTGCAATGATCAAGGGGGAGTGAATGTGAATATCATATTGTGAAGATTATTCTGCTTTTAAGTGAGAAATTGTGACGAGTTTTCTGTTCTGAAAGAAAAAGGGGGAGTTTTCTCAAAAAGTTTTCTGTATCTAGTGAAAGGGAGAGATTGATTGAAAAGAAGTATCTCTGTCAAGTTTAAGGGGAGCTGAATTTTTTTTGTTGCTGATTAAAGATTGGGGGAGATTGTCAATGTTTTGAAGAAGATTGTTTCAAGTTTGTCAAAGAGTTGAAGATTGTCAGAGATAGCTGACATAGGGGGAAATTGTAAAAGTTTTAAGGTTTAAAAATTGTCGAAGATTTAAAGATCAAATCTTGAAGATTTCAAATTTCTGAATGATTTCTGAAGATCGTTGTCATTAAGTCTGAAAGTTTAAAATCTGAAGAATTTGTTGTTTTGGACTTAAATCCAAAGGGGGAGATTGTCGGGTCAAAATATTGTATTCAAGTCCCGTGCTTAAACTATTTTAATTGCTTTGTAATAGTAGGTTTGTTTCTTTGTATAGGTTGCTATAAATAGGTAGTGTTAATTGTTAGTTAAAAGGTTGGTTAACAAACAGTTGATAGACTCCAATCGTACGCACACACAGTTAAGAATGAATCAGAGAATCTATGTGAGTGATTGTATTCAAGAACACTTTGTACTCAATGTTATCAAATGACAATGCCGACCTATTTACATCTACAATCTGTGTTCTTGATTTAGTAATTGAATTGCTTGTTTAGTGCAAAATTAACAATCAATTCAATTACTAAATAAACACTAAAATAGTGCAAAATTTGGTGTATTATATTAAAGATGCGCCCTATTCAACAAAAAATTAAGCCAAACAAATTATACCAAAAAAGAACATTTTATTTACTTAAATTTGACATCTATATTGATATATTCTTTTAAGTGTTTCATGATGTTCTCGTATTTTGATCTTGTTCTTGTTTGAAACCTCATATGACATTTTTATACTTAAATATAATATTTTAAATATACAATATAAACAAAATATTTTGTTAGATTACATAATATAAATTATAAACTATTCGGAAGGAAGTCATTCCTGGCACTTGAGCGCCAACAACTCAATGTTCAAAATGCCCTTGACGCAAAGAAAACACCTTTTTTCAAAACCTGTATCATGATTTTTTGGCATAATTTTGTTCAATCTTTTAAGGATTTTATTCAACTAATCTTTAAATCTTGACAAACTTTAAATCTTTTAACCAACAAATATACCCAACCCTTGTCTTTTAAGGAGATCCTGTTGTTGGAATCAACCTTTGTATAAGGTCTATGTTGTAATCTTGTCTTTTAAGGAGATCCTGATGTTGGACTCCTAGGTGAACCATCAGGCAAGTTCGATTACTATGTTCTGTATGGAAACTCACCCTCTAGACCAAACCCAACCCTCAAGCCCTGACATACCTCACCTTCTCATAAACCCCCCCCCCACCAGTCCCAAGGTGAATGTTGTGCTATAACCCCAACAACCCCATATGAGTACCAAGAAAAATTTCCACCACTCAGTCCTTTCGAACATCCCCACCAAAAAACGAGGCATGATTGGAATATCAGAACTCCCACAACCATAAGTTCCTCTGGAAACCCCAGCACCGTTAGTCATGCTGAAGCCACTCTAAACTGCAGAGTGAAAACGTTGTTGCCCAAAACAAAGTTCTCAAAACCATTTTGGCACAACAGACAAAGCTGACAAAGACACAAGAGGTTCTTACGACAAAGGAGCAGACTCTCGAAGGTATGATCACGGAGATCAGGTTCAAGATACAAGGACTCCACAATGAGCTTATCCAAATAGTTCAGAATAGTCCTTCACCAACCTCCAACTCTCTCACCCAAAAAGAATAAAAAATGAAGTTCCTAAAAGCTCAGCTTACGGATCTTGAGAGACAGCACAAACAAAAACGATTATCATCCCTGGTTGAAGATCCATGAAGGTTACCTTCCACTCCCTATATTGGAACTGCATTTGAACCACAGCCACTTCCCTCGTCACCATTCATCCAGACATCTCCATCAGTAATGTTATGGTCCTCAAAAAAGGAAAAAAAGGACAAACAAACCAACTTTGTTTCCTGCCAGATCTCAACAAGCCCTAAAAAGAACCGAGATAGCCTCCTCCAGTGGAACGAAGGTACTCCCAGAAGACACATCTATGGTTGGCTCCTCAAGGCCACCCGAAGTTTTACCAATAAAGGAAATAAACCCTATTTCTTCTTTCTTACGGTCTTTGACCCAATCGAATACCCTTCCGGCATCCACTGTTGTTGTTGCACCAATCATCTCTTCCTCCAAAAATGAAGAAGGTGATTTTGACCCAAAAGAAGCATTCGAACACCTGTTCATGACAGAGCCAGAAACCAGGTATCGTGTTGATTCAGAAGTAGAGGAATGACCTAGTGACACTGATTCAGAAACAACACCCCAAAGACGAGCCAAAGCTCCAAAAGGTGATACTAAACAACAATTCACCTTTGATGACATCCCCCCATCAAGATGGAGGGATAAAAGCATTGAAATGCAAACATGGTGTAATGCAGAACTCCAATACTATGATATTGACATAGTAGTTAAAAGATTCATAACCAGGTGCCAAGGTCGCCTCATAGATTGGTACTTGAGTCTTGGAGAGTATCGTCAACTACAAATCCAGCAATCTCAGTCTCCCAGTCTTGGGAATCAACCTTTGGTACCGCACACAACAAGATACAATGATTTAACCCTTATTGATAGCTCAACCACTCATATCAAGGTTTTGCTCCTAAAGAATAGTTCAACTAGTAATATCTTGAATTTGCTCACCAAGACCGCTGTTAAGTGTGTGTGTGTTTTTGAGGCGGCACTCCTAGCAAATGAATAGAATGAAAAAACAAAAGCACAACTAAAAGGTGATTGACTCCTCCCAAAGAACAATTCTAGCACACAATTAAAACAGGCCCCAAAAGGGACAAGGAAAAACACACTGTAAGGGGCCGTTTACCCAAATGCTTACCTGGTAAGTGTTTATCAATAGGAGTCGACACTAATTTATTTAGATGCGTAAGATTTTAGTACATCAAAGCATATCGAATGCAACAATTTACTAGGTAAGCGCTTACCTGGGTAAGAGTCGTCATCCTCACTTACCGGGTAAGACTCCACATCCTTCTCATTGCTCTTACCCAGTAAGATTCTTGGCCCTTCTCATGTTCATCCGATGAAAAAATTTATGCGCCAAACACTTACCAAGTAAGTGTTTAGTAAACGGCCTATAAGATTTGCAAACAATTACTTTGAAGAAATTAATCGAACTATACACAAACTATCCCGAACAAGAATAGTTACCAAAAAGTCATAATGATTCATGATACAACCCTTTAGGTATTCAATCAAAACCATTGACAGAAATCAAACACTATTGGTGAACTTTTTGGGAAGGATGGAAAAAGGTATGATTGTGCCCACATCTAATGATCCGTCTTGCTTTTTAACATGTCCATGTTCATGCTCCCATGATAGACAAATGCTTTTTTATCATTTTTCAAAGCCAAACCAAGCATTCCCACAAACCATGAAGGCTAACTTCATCTGATTGTGTTCTGGTATCCCATAAGATGGACCTCAATTATTGCTTCTTAAAGGTGTTTGGTTGTATAGCATACGCTCTAATAGTCAAAACGACACTTTTGGAGTAAGAATAGTAACAAATGAAAACATATCTATAGAGATAGGTTGAAGTGAGAAAACTAACTAAATAAGAAAACAACCAAATCACTTGCAAAATCACATGTAATTTTTGCATTAACGGTCAACAAAAAGGGTGTGCGGGTGAGTTAGCCTGCGACCAAGATTGCGGCCAAAGTCGCATGAATTACATGTGATTTTATATGTAATTATAGTGTAAAATCACATGTGATTCAACCGTTGTCTTATTTTCTTATTTAAATATTGTTCTCGTATGAACCTGACTCTACATGTATACTCTAGTTTGGGCTAGACTAACTAGACATGACACTACACATAATTGTTCCATGTTTGACATGACATGATACTGGGTGTGGAACAAAAATTAAGGAAATGGACAAGATTTGGTAAATTACTACACTACCCATGTCAATTTAAAATCCTAAAACCTTCTACAATTCTTTCAACCATCTACCTCACACCCACATATCCAGTATCATCCAATGACAACTGCAGCTATAATGGATTTCAAAACCATGACTTTAACGGGTTAGTTTCTTTTAGGGGGGTTTAGTTGATGTTCGGGCTAGATTGTGTGCACCTTCGACTAATCCCACAAAAGATCCCAATGGCCTTAAGGACACTCGAACTAGTCACCTAGGATGAAAAGCTCAAGGGCTGGCCTTTATTTGCTAGTTGAACTAAAGCTCCAAATCAACATGATGCAGCTATGTCCACGTATGTTCTAGAAATCAAGCTCGATGGGCACGAAGCAATTCTTTTCATCAAACAATTTCAACAAAAACTGCTAATATATACAATTTAGGAAAAAAAAGAGAAAAAAGTTAAGCGGTGCAATACATTGGTTGCAACTTCAAACCTGAACAAGTTAAGGATCCTGCTTACAATGTCAATACTACCCTCAGCCTCCCAGAGTTTAAACTAATAGACAATTAGACTTTGCTTTTCACAACATGATAGCATCTCAATCGCCCGAAGATGTAGTTTCCGCGGTTTCATCATCACTAAAACTAGAGGTCATCTGCACAGTCGACCTGAGAATATACATGACTCCATGTCAGAAAATACATTCTAAAGGCGTCGTCCAAACTGAAAATAAGTTAAATCACACAGCAGATACTGGATAGAACCATTTTCATTGTAACTGTGATAAATCTAAGATATCAATTCACATGATTAATTGACATTGCTACTTTTTTTTATGAAGTATATAATACTTATATACGACAAAACTCACACAAATTCAAAGGTGAGCCTTGAACCCTTTACCTCCAGGGAGGTTGGGATATACCAAGAACCCAGATATCGCTGGGTCAATAACCCTTTAGATATTGATAAATGAGAAATAACATATGGCTACCCAATGATCTGTGGGTTTCCGAGGGTTGGGAGGAAGTCGTACTGTTCTCTCTTATATTTTGCAAAGAGGTTGTCTCCATGACTGTAATCCGTGACCCTTCCGGTCACAGATGAGCAACTTTTAAAACTGTTTGCTCAAGGCTTGACCCTAAAGAAAAGCAACCAATGTGTATGAAGGCTCCTTGATCCTATGAGGGTTAAGGAGAGAAGTTCTTCTATATAGTACTTTCCTTCCATTTGGCAAACAAGCAGTTTTGATGACTTGGGTCAAGGTGGAGTAACCTTATTGGTTGGTGCAACGACCCCTACATATAAATCAACCTATATGAAACAAGCCCTAATCATTTAGGTATGTGGCAATTTCCTTAATGGATGGTGTGCCATGCTTCATCTGCAATCAATTGAGGGTATCTTGATCTTACTGCATGGCATATTACCCCATGATCATTGTTACATAAATAGTCTATTATCCCAGGGCAAAAACTGAATAAAATATCCACAATGAAGCGGTACACATTTTTTAATTAACTAATGACAATTGTACCCTTAATAATAGAAGAAGTAATGAATTTCTCCATCTTATAATTAAGGGTGGAACTGGAAAATATCACTTATTTTTGAAAGTGGAGACTTATTTTGATACAAACTAAAATAGAAATGTTGAGGCTTATTTTGAGATGAAAGGACTATTTGCTAAATCTAGTCAAAGTGATCGAGAGAGAAGAATCTCATAAGCATATAAAGTGCAAGCACTGACCTTTTAATTTTAGTGATTCTTGGAGATATGTCAAAAACTGCCTCTTTCCTTGGATACCCTTGCTGTGTAAACTCATCCCTACTTCTCTTAATAACCTTCAATGGTAGAAAAACAAGTTTGAAGTCAAAACTAGTGCACTAATGTATTATAGGAAAAGTTAAAGAGTTGAAGGATTTGTGCAAACTGCATTATTAACCCTCATTTCATTTCCTGGATGAATCTTTGCAGAAACCAGTTTGGAGTATTCATCAATTCCTCTTCTTTGTCCATTGAATTCATCATCCTACACATCAGTCCCATTCAAGAATAATTCATTAGCTTTTAACTTCTTTTCCAGAAAATAGCAAAATGGTAAATAAAAAATTTAAGGCGAAGACCTTAGGTGTCTTCCTGGACAGCCCTCTGTCCTCCGATTCAACAAATTCACTCCGATTAATGATCAAATCTGAAGTAATAGGTTCGATACGGTCTCTATAGATAACCTTCGGGGTCCCGCTATTGTGGCTACGCGGGTAGTTCTCTGCTTGCTTGCCATCAATGTTTTTTCCGTAGGCAATTAGATGACGGTTAGATAGAGAATCTGGTCTCTTTACTCCAGGACCATGCTTTGTTCTCATTTCAATGTGCTCCCTAAGGTCGTGAACTGATGTTTCTCCAGCAGAATCGTCATTTACTTCCATCTGCAAGCTCCTCCCAGATAGAGAACTTCTATGCTTAGACAAAGGAGGTGTTTGCTTATATTGGCTGTCAGAGTGTTTTTCACGATGCTTGGATGCATGCCTCATCTCTAAACCTGACTCATCCAAATCTGTGGGATGATAGCTCTTCGGATTGTATCTTTCATACATCTGATCATGAAGAGGGACAAACATTAGATCGATTAAAACACCAAGTGAAAGCAATGGAATATATTTTGTTGAAAGCATTTTTCAATTTTCTAATTATAAGCCTTCATGCCTTCAATCAACAACCAAAATCAAAACAAGTTTCTGTAGAAATACAATTTCAACTTCAGGTTTGATGCCATAGCCATATTTGTACCGTATAAGGGGATTACATATCTACTCACAAAAAGTATGACTGCAAATTAGAAATCAACATTCAACTCCCATGATCATTTCAAAAGGATAAGTGATTCTTAATGACCAATGATATTCTTAGTTAAGTCCCCTAATTGCCCAAGAAAGTTGGAAGAATGCATACCTTGCTTGTGTTAGGAAGTTGGAATGTTTTAGATCCATCCAGTGAATGAAGTGCAGTGCGGTCACCAACATAGTAGGATTCTGGAAGGACATCAAGAAATAGTAGGTGAAGGAAAAAATATATTGGCCAAACTTTTATCAAAGAAAAAAAATCTATTTAAAACCGCTACATGCAGCAAAGCAAGTCCATGCTAAGCGAGCACGAGCATTAACATTAGTAGAAAATAAATTAATTATACTCTTCTATCATGTCAACCAGTCAAGCAATTCCAGATTGAAGTCTATAAAATGGACATTAAAGTTGCATGATTTTGAGCAAAAGAGTACCATAAATAGACAAAAGAACATCAAAGGAAGGTCAAGAATCGGATCATCGCTTTAAAGCGAGTATCCAATTAGTCTAAGAAAATAGTATCTCCATCTTTCTTATGTGGAAGATAAATAAACACATATACGGGACCAACATACTAGCATTTCTATCTTAGTTGTTAAGAGGTATTTTTTTCATAATGCCTATAAGGAAGGCCATCCTCATCTTTACAATTGGAGGCTGCCCGAGATGAAACTTGTATCATGTTTAAGTATTCAATACTGGAGCACCCAAAGTTACCGATAGAGTCGAAATATGGGAATTCGCTAGCTTTTATTAAATAAGAATTTAAAGGACTTGTATTTTTTCTAGTTTACATTTCTTATGTCAACTTTATCTCCACTTGATTCTTTCCTAAAAAAGGGAGTAAATAATATTTAAGAAAAAGGGGAGTAATTGATGCCACTGTTTAAATCTTCTACATGATAAAAACAAATATTTATCTTTTAGGGTTCATGTCCTGGAACACTATTCTACATGCTGGTTCTATGAATCCCTCCTCACTTTTCACTTTTACCTTTTGATCCTCATATCATGACAAAAGTACACAGGAGCTTAGGGTGTAGCAGTTACAACATGTACCCAACCATAGCATAACCGTCAGGTTCATAACGAAGAAATCAGTAATGCAATGTGAAAAATCAGAGGAAATTACTTTCAATCATATTTTTGAGCGACCACAAAATTAGATCTTGCTAGCTAGTTTGATGCAAAAACAACTTGCATAACAATTTCCGTACGCAGATGTCCTATATGATGAAATAAGTGGTATGCTATAAAGTGTAAATCATAAACTGAATGATGTGCATCCATTTTTAAGACTATATATAGCACTCATGATTCATGCATGTGTAATGCTGTGAACAATGCATGAAGGGGTATGAACTTCAGAAACCATCAAAGGCATCCATGCAGAAATTCAATTGGGTTTTGAGGTTTAGAAAGACCGTTTTCAGCCATTATGAGGCTTCTCAAGAGTACCAGGATATATTACGTGGCTTCAAGATTGCCTTGCAACTCCAAAAAGTGCAGCAGACTTGTAGGTGAAATGAGTGTAGGAAACTTTCTTATGAGAATACCATTTTAAGCGATCCTCTAAAAGTTCTATAACAGGCTGTAAAGATTTTGATGATTTTCCTTCATCACTATATCTTTGATCTATGAATGCGTTATTCACCACAAAACAAAAAGAATTAAACAAGACTTTAGGTCCTCATGCACAGATGTAGCTTAATTTAGTAAACGTATGTATGCTTATGACTCAATTTCTCATGTGCTCACATAAACTAACTTTGACTTCTATGACCAGCGATCAACCTGTTAAGGAAATAGCAACTCTATCAAGTTCTTTTATTTTTTGGATAAAGCGGATAGAACCCCTTGGAAAATTAATCAGATATAAAACTACGAAAAAGGTAATTATAAAATATGGTCATTTAGGTCACTGTCAAATTAGGACTCTATTTTCAATGATGGAAGAAGCATATTAACATTATTAGCATCCATATGGCTTGGAGAGAGACACAAGCAAGCTGTTATATTTGGATAAAGAACGAATATCACAAATGCATCATAAAAGAACCTATGGTCAGTATGACATGCTATCATATAAAAAGTGCTACTGCTTACGGTTGACTGGAATCTTGACTGGGTTCTCGAATGCACCAGGCGGAAGTGGCTCAAATTCAATACCAAGTGGTGGACCATCCTCTCGATAATGCCTACCCAGTTGCCTCTTGACGGCTGTAATTGCAGCATTTTCGACCTGACCTTTCACCTTTAAATATCCTGATGGGCCAACCCTTCCCTTTATGCTTTTCACATCATTATGAGTTGGATATTTTGATGTTACTGTACCTAAACGATCCACATTTTGAGGATGAAAATTATCCTTCAATGGTGAGCTACTTCCTGAAGATGTATCATCATCCATGACACTGTTGTGCTGACTCCCATGCTCATACCGAAGTTCTGTTGGTAAAAGCCCTTCGGCAGTAAATCTTCTACTTTCAACTTCCTTTGGATCAGAAAGCTTGTTATCTCCTTGTTTGGTGCTGCCACAGGAATCCTGTCGGAGTCCACTGCCACGATCCTGTATGACACCACTTGACCGATCTTGTTTTCCATGTGCTTGAACTTCATCATTCGGTGATTTCTTGTCCTTCAACCTTCTATGGCAAAACCACCCAGAAACTTGCTTTTCTGTTAATCCTATTGACTCTGCAAGTTCTAATTTCATTGCCTCTGTAGGGTATTTATGTTCTGCAAAAAGAACGAAAAGACTTGTTTAAAGCAATTTTATATCAAACTAAAATATACTGTATGAAGAAATGCAGCAACAAGAACAAGCATACCATTATAGAAGTTCTCTAGTGCTGTCACTTGAGATGGTGTCTTGACAATCCTCTTCTGTTTCTTCTCTGGAAGAGCTCTATTCTCATCGGTATGAACTTCTCGAGACTCTACAACAAAAAGATTTGTAAGTACGACGAGAGCAAGAGGGAGAAATGTAATGTTGATATGCTGTTGACCAGTCAATAATTTATGTTCTCTAAATCGTGATAGCTAATTACATACATAGAAGTTACTAAAACACATTACACGTGTAACATAATACAAAGAAAATAGTTTCATTCTTCCCTAGTCTTAATTATGAACTCTTATTTAACCCATTCACCATGCACTCCGGTCTAGAAAACTATGTAAAAGATCATCTCCCTCCATCCCGAAATGATTGCATTCCTTTGACTTGGAACAAAAAGTATCATTCAAACATTATTTTCCAAAGTTTACCCTTTTACTAGAATAAACAAAAGCTACTTTCATAGGGAGATGTGTCAACTTTCCATGGAGAGTGGGAAAGTAAGGTGGCCATTACACTCATCAAATGTTAAAAATCAGGCCTTTTTAAAGTTCATTTCATCATGATAAGTGTGAAGGTATACCAATAAACCAAATCATACTTATCTAGTTTCAGCAGGAGGTCATTTATTGTTGACATCTAAAACAGATAGGATACTTATTTTGAGATGATCAGGAGTATTAAAGAGCCAATGTTTGTGATTTTTATACCATCATTAGCTGATTTTAATAATTTTAAGGCCAAATATGATAACGTGACTGTAATTCGAAAATTCCTACTTGGCAGACATTCCTGTGTGCACAATCAATGATATCGTATTTACTAGACATGGCACATTTGCAAACTTCATGGTCGAAAAGTTAACCTTACCCACCACTTATAGTAACAACGATGAAATGAAGAACAAACTTGATAATTGATACTCTAATATATGGATATGGATCGGATTGTTCACATTATAAGCATGGAGTATGGGAGTATAAACACTCCTAATACATCATTTGAAAAAATACTTCCCTAGTTATATCATCTTACAGCACATACCATTTTCCATGCCTATATAATTAGAAACACGAATTATAAATCAATTAAATACCACATGGCATACCTTTTAAGGATTGTCACAGGCATACTACTTATGTTCTTCAAAGGTACAACAATTAACGTATTCTGCATTTGTTTCCGACAAATATTACATTGGCATTCTAAATTTAAGAAGGGAAGATGGCTTTATAAATATAAACCATTGCGCTTCTATGTATGAAGTACGCACCCCTGAACTAAACTGTCTTATTAAAATTATGCTGTTTTGACTTCTATTCTTCCAACTAATAATACTTAAACTCCAGCCTTGAGAAGGTCATATGCATTTATACACCAAGCTGAATTAATCACCCAAAATCTAGTGTAACTAAATAACCAAATAAACATATAACCTAAAGCTTCAAAAGGTGTAATGGCTCTACATACAATATTGTTGTTGTAAAGCATGAAGTCTCGACCCTGAATGACATATAAGCAAAATATAGTATAACATTTAAACCATTCATATCATTTTTAGTAATAAAACATTCACATTCTAAAGGGATTAACGTCCATATAAACATAAAAGTAGCCATGACCTAATCTGTTCATAACCCAGATTCCAGTGTAACAAGGATATATTTTTTTTTTCCAACCTATACACTACATCAACATTTACACTGTTGAAGGGGTATCAGACTTTTATAAACATAGGCATGAGCTTTGTAACCCTCAATTCATCAGCTTTTTTCACCTATATATGGGTATATGACAATTAGGCTATATTTTATTTTCTTTTCAACCCAACACCACATAAGATTCAGATCATAGAAAGTTCAATGGCTTTATAGACATAAACAGATATATGTTTCTTTAGCACTTAAATCGATCATTGCTCACTCAGAATCTTCCACGAGACAGATGATTCTCAAGTAACCCAAAATAATCACACATTCAAATAGGTAAATGCAAGCAATTTCCTTAACCCAATTACACTTGCATAACAAATCATTAAGTTTTTTAAACAATCAAGGGAAAAGATCAGAATTGCACAAACACACTCCGTCAGTGCCAAATCAAAGGACCTACTGTTCAGCTTTGAGATCAAACCTAGCATTGTTCTATTGGAAAACTGATCTTGACACTGTTAATAACTCAACACCGATGTCCCTATGTTTCCTAGTAGTTACAAGGGTTTTTCATGTAATCAACAATTTCTCGCAAAAAGTACAAAAATTTCACATCAAATTTTAAGTAGATAATCAGAAGCCAAAGTGTGCTTTCTTTTGTCACCGATGGAGTGCATCACAAAGAACAACAATTGATGAAGTCATTTGCCTAGAATTTCCATATGCTTTCTAAAAATGCAAAGGGAAAGTAGCAGAAACACCACATCATATTTGTGAACAAGAAAGCAGATGCCTACAATCGACAATGGAACAAGAAAGCAATAAAAAATTAAAATTCAGTCCAAGTGATCTCGAATTGAACCGAAAGGGTGGTCATACCTTCCATAATTCCGGATGCTTTTAGGGTTTTTGTTTGCTAAGCTATCAGAATCCCCTTTTGCTTTGTGTATGGTCGATTCAACATTGCCAGTTTAAGAGGCGGAGAATGCAAGAAATCGGAGAGATTTATGAAGACGATTGAGGAGTTTTGAAGTTGAATTTGGCTAGTTTATGCAAATTAATGGATGGTGAAACGTAATTATGAAGATATTTGGTCTGAATTAGAGAGTTGGTTGTGTAGACGAAGAGAAGAAAAAAGGGTAAAAGGAAAGACCAAAATCTTGTTGCGATTGAATTGAAGCAAAATTTTGCATTATACTTTTATACGTCAACAAAAGCATTTTATCTTTTCCCCCTTCTCAACTATTTTTATTTATTTCACATTTCTAACCATAAATTAACATTTATAAATTTTTGAATTTATGAACTTATCTATGTATAAGAATTAGTAGGCGTGTACGCGGGTTAGGTTGGACGGTTTATAATATTTTTATAATTCAATCCAATTATGGCGGTTTGAAAAATCTCAACATCACCGAATCCATTCAAAAGTATAACTCAACCCAACTCAATCATTGCGGGTTGAGGCGGGTTGGGTTGGGTTGACGGGTTAATAGTTACATAAATTTGACGAATGAAATAATTTATAAAACTTAAGTTTATAGACCATACTATAAAGCGTCATATCTAAAATGGTTACAATAGGTTTACATGACGTTTTTGGACGCTTCAACAAGTGTTTTAGAATGATCTTCAAATAAAATGTCGTATTAGTTATTTTATATAAATATTTTGAGAAGTGTCCCTAAAACTCATTTATTCATAGGACACCTATGTTCATATACACTTTTCAAGTCGTGTCGTATAAAATAACTAATATGATACTTTATTTTAAAAGCGTCATAGAATTTGTTAGAACTTTAGGCATCCTATAAGATCTAATGTTGTTGTAGCGAAATGCTATAACTAAACATTTTATTTCCACTAAAGTACAACCATCAAATGACGGGGTATTTAGATTGATGGATTCGTCAACAAAATATGTATTAGTATCATTCATATTCTCCGACATATCAATTTGTTGTTGCTGCAAAGAAGATTTCAATAATTTTCTCTTATTAATTAAATTATTTGTCATCATTTTTTGATCGTGAATCTCTTTTGGTAACCTATACGTTTAACTAAAATGAAATACAAACATAATATCAATAAAAATTATACACTATAAATATATATATATATATATATATATATACATAATAAACATATATATATATATATATAATTTTATAAAAATTATATATTAGCGGCGGTTTGACGGGTTGGGCGGGTTGGGCCTTCAACCCTCCTAATTGGCGGGTTAGCGGTTTGGCGGATGGGCGGTTTGACGGTTAGGCGGGTTGGGTTTAATTGGGTTGTTAACGGGTTGGGTTGGGCGGGTTGGGCAGATTGACGGTTTTTTGTGCACTCCTAAGAACTAGAAGGGTATTCGTACAATATAACGAAATACATCTCGATTTTAATGTTTCGTTTTATTTTATTTTTTTTCTCTGTTGATGTTATAATACGGTTTTTATGTGGTTTTGAAAAAGCGATAATGTTTTTTATTTTTAAATAAAATATAAATATGAAGATATCATAAAAAATTTAAAAAAAAATTGGTACTAGTATAAAACTAACTATTTAAAATTTCTTCTTTTTCGTGTATTTCTTTAATTCATTTTTTTTATTTTTGGTTTAATAATAAATTTTTCTATAAAGATAATAATTAAGTATTTGGACAAATTGCATAAAAAAATAGCGTACTTTAACTTAATTCCTATTTTGGGTAACGTACTTTCAAAACTTTCATTTTGGTACCTAAGATGTAAAGTCTTAAACATTTAAGTACCTGGGTAACCCGGTGAAGACTAATTTTAGACTAAAAAAAGACTAATTTTAGATTTAAAAAATCCACGTCACTGACCACGTCAGCAAATAATACCGAGTTAGATACTACATCACTAGCCACATCAGCATGATAATCGGTTAATACTTCAACCAGTTACCCGGGTATTTAAATGTTTAAAACTTTACATCTTAGGTACCAAAATGAAAGTTTTGAAAGTACGTTACCCAAAATAGAAATCAAGTTAAAGTATGTTACTTTTTCATGCAATTTGCCCTAAGTATTTTGTAAGAAGTCAATGATTATCCTAATTGTATTTTAGATTTTTATATTTAAAATGAGATGTTTATCATCTATTTGATTGTGTTTATCTGCAGTTAGTTATACGAATTCAATAATAAAGCTTTAATAAGTTGTACTTATGCATAATTTACTTGTAATCTTGAATTTTAAGTCATATGCATTAATAAATGGTACTTCATGCATGAAAAATAGTTTTAAAAGTTTTTGTCAAATACTTTATAGTATAGTATAGATAACAAAATTTATCAACATATAATAAAATTTGGTTTAGTTGTTATTTACTATAATTCAGAATTTTTTTTCTTTATCAATCCAACAAATTTTTAATATTTTTAATCTTATACCTAATTTGACCAGTTTTCGGTTGATATTGTAATATTTGATGATGTCATGTTGAAGACCTTATGACGTACAAACGTTAATGCATAATATATGGGTGAAGCAATGGAGGTAATTGATGTTCCAGTTGTTATTCAATCAAACATAAACTTCAAGAACAATTATTAGATCAACAATGACAGATCACAGAAAAGTGTAGAGAAAGATTTCTTCATAAGATTTTCTATTAGCTTCAATGATACATATAAAAGATTCTTCAAAGTTCAAGTACATTACAAACAAAGGAAATAAACCTGTTTATACAAGGAAAATACAAAGGAAATATAAAGCTTGAATACAACTCTAAAGCACAAAGCATCGAACCCAACATTCTCCTCCTTTGGATTCAAGCTTTAAAATTTGAAAATATCGAATGTCTAAACCCCAAATGCGTTTCAAACTTTCTTATACCATTCATGTACTGACATCAAGCAACTCCAGAGCTTTAAGAAGTAAGAACATTTCTCTTAAATTCAACTTGTTTGACCCTGTCGCTATAAATCTTGAGCTTTCTCCAATTTAAATTGCTTCCTTATAATTTTGATTGTTCCATCATTGTACTCTTTGAGTTCACTGAACCTCAAAAGCCTTTTGGCACCCTTAGAGTTTTCATACACCACATCTAACTCAAATATTCAAGAATCATGTACAAATGATAACAGTCAACGTCTTCTAAGTCTTGATTTGGATTTTTCAGATTAACATGTTTTTGGTTACTTTCATAACCCATCTGAACATCTATAATTAAAGACAGTTTGCTCTGACATTTGAGAAACCTTTTGATAGCTTCTATTTCTCTAACGATTCCTTCCATTCTGATAGTCTGGTTTCTGATATCATGATACATAAGATTAGGAAAATCAGCTTCACTAAAGTACCATTCTTTACCATATTGCCTTGTGACATAGAAAACTGGATACCAAACTCTTACAAGTCTTATGGCTTCCACCTTCTTTATCGAGACAATTTGGTGCTTTGTTCGCACAAAGTGAATGGTTTGGCATTTAGATTTAAGGAAGTACTTGTATTCTCTACGGTATTCAACAGTTTCTTTATGAACACCTAAGACTTTATCAGCTCTTAAAGCTTTTAAGTAACGAAAAAATATGTCAGCGTACAAGTCTTCAAGATAAGGTTCTTATATTCTAGCTTTGTCCGACCCTGGAGTTTCAAGCTTCTCGGTGATAGACACATACCTTCTTGAAGATTAAACATTTGAAGTTTGACGCACAGAAGATGTACAAGGAACACTTGTTGGTTCAACAAAAATTGGTTCAGGATCTTCTTTCGGCTCGAACTGAAATGGGAAACTTGATTCTTCATCATTCATATTTGCTTCAAAGTCAAATAATAATTCATCTGAATCAGTAGCTTCTTCTTCAGATTCAACATTAAAATCCTGAACTCTACCAACTTCATCTGCAAAAACATCATTATACCCAACATTGGTTGACAGACCCAACAACCTCCTTGTTTCTACAATGGAAACCTCCGGCTTTTCAACCATCGGCTTGATCTCTGAATCTGCAAATACTGTCATTTCAATGCTCCTTACCCTTTCACCAGAATGATTGGAATTATGTTCATCAGAATCTTCACAATCTTCCATCTCTACCTCTTGATCTCTCGAAGACTCAACCACTTTTTGCCTTTTGATCTCCCCCTCATGGTGATCAGGATCTTCCTGGTCATCATGTCTTCGTTTAAGAGAAATATCTTGAGCTTGGCAAGTAGTTTCAACAACTGAAACACTTTCTAACAAAACATCGATTGAGTTTTGAAGATTTAAGATACTTTGGGATGAAGAAGCAATTGCTGAACCAATATTTGACAAACTTGAAACAACAACACTTTGGAAATTATGAAACTCTGAGGCTTTAGGGGCTTCAGATTCTTCCAATGATTGTCTAAGCAAACCAACCAAGTCTGCATCCACCGAGTCCATGTTAGGTTCATAAATCAACTTAGCATATAGCATAGACTTCAGATTATCCATCAAAAAGTTTTGTTCTTGTTGAGGTTACGATGGTGGCGATGAAGCACGACTTTCTTCTTCAACAACTAGCTGCTTTCCTTTCAACAATCTATTTAAACCATTGATTTCTTCCATTAACGTATCTTGAACAGCCTTTAGGGCGCCGTTCATAAACTATTGTGCATACGTTCAGTGTTGGAATAGCGTTAGCACTGGTAAGACTTCTGACATGTCCTTTTAAAATGTCAAATGACTCTACTCTGGTCGTTCCGGCTTGTTCACAAAGAATAATAGATTGAGCAACAAATGCTCTCAACTCTTGTGTACTTATAGTGTTTCAAGGCTCTAGACTCAATGTGTTAATCAAAGAAGTTGTAGACGGGGGCTGTTGTCTACTATTTTCAATATCTAGTTCCTCCGAATGAGGAACAGATAGATTATGTGCTAGATTCATGTGAGAAGATGAAACTAATACCCGTTGAGAGACATCAGAGTGGGTTAGGAGAGGTGTGCATTTGCATAGTTGGGTGGACTATGTCTTCTTCAATGTTAACATTCAACGAATGAATGTCAACAACAGATGTGGTTACACGGTGTCTCCTAAAAGTTTGGATAGGAAATGATATTTCTTCTTATGTTCCTATCACCCTCTCTCCTTAGTTTTCTTCTTCCAATTCACACGACCTCTCTGAATTTTCAACTAAGTTTCCCTCGTCTATCCTTAAAGACTCCAAAA